GATAGATAGATAGATAGATAGAAAAATAGATAGATTGATAGATAGATATCAAGAGTAGATAAATAACTCTTGTTATTTATCTACTCTTGATAGATATGCGCTGAGTGCGAGCGTGCAGGTGGGGGAGGACTTGGTTCCACAGCCAGCGCGTGTGCCCTGGCGAATCCACTACAAGGTTACGTGACAGACTACTGTATACCTAAGCCTGTGGTTGCGTGTTTGCAAGTCTACAGCCAGCGCACCTAGCGGAAGTGAACTGAATCGTGCATGTTTTCCAAGGAGATTTTCCATTAGATTTTCTAAATATTTAAAAAAAAAACATTTACCCCAATAAATAACAAAAAGCAAAGTGTTAGAATCGAACCTGATGCGTAGGAATGAAGCACGAAAAATTCGTGTACGCGCCTAGAAGTTATGCAGGAACAAACAGAACGACACTACTCAAATTATTATATAGAATGATCGGGGATGGTGGTACTCTCGCTCTATTAATACATCTCGATTGCCTATTGATTCGTATCAGTGATTTATAGACGGTTCGTATCCTATATATAGAAAGCTCTGATCAGATCTGATATTTTCCAATCCGATTTATTTGGAGACTTCCTAAAAATGTGGCCTCCTTTCTCCTCCGCACCCTGTATCCGGGTGGATAGACGACGGGGAGAGGGAAGGGGGAGAGGGAGGGCACGGCACGGGCAACCACGCACTGCACAAGCCTGCGTCAAGGTCTCGTCGCCATAGCAGGTGTGATGTTCCCGTCTATGTATGCCCCCTATGCAGCAGCAGTAGCCTGTTGACCTACAAAGCTGACCGGTTGTAAGCTAGACGATGGGGTCCCGCAGCGAGGTAAGTAGGTAGGGCCTATCAGCGTGCCTCGCAGGTAAACCCAGCGCGTGTTGGGCGACTGCGCTATACCGTACAGTAATAAATTATATCTGTGACGTGACTGTGTCAATATCCGGTCAGAGTCTTCTCGCAGAGTGCATGAGCACGCGTGTTGCAACCCTGGTTTCGACTCGAGTCACTTTGTGTGGTAGCTATAAAGGTGGGGAGTTGGCTCGTACATACACGCGCGCACGCACGCACATACAGTAACACGCGCGCACGCACGCACATACGCGCCCATACTCACGCACCCGCATACGCACTCATACTCACGCACGCACATACACGCGCACGCACCTACGCAACAGGCCCGTATCTAAGGAGTGGTATCAAGAGCATGCTACTTATGCTATTTAATTATACATACTTAATACGCTCTTGGTGGTATCTAAATGGGGGGAGGTATCTAAGGGATGGTAGCAGGCATCAGACGACCCCCCCCCCACCTACCAACACCACATTGACAACCACCGGACCGCCTTTTCAAGCCAGTTATTTGCCCAATCATCCATAGTCTAAACATGTCCAAAACTATGAATTTCTTACAATTTTCTTCGGTGAACCGAATTATCTGTACAGAATATGCGTTTTTGCTATGCATACAGAATATGTATTTGTTGCACATACAATAGGCCGAATTGCGAAATCTAAAGAAAAAAGAAAGAGATAAGCCTACTGGTTATAGCATATATGGTTGGTAGCAGCTATCTGTCAGGAGTGTGACCTGTGTGACGAAACTTCTGTTGCCTTTCTTGCTTGCAGCCGTATTTCCACGCGGATGTGCGGGTAAGATGTGGCTTTCTGCCAGTATGCAGTCCGTCTGATGACCTGTGTATTAAAGGCGCACAAGTTTAGGAGTTTGGGCAGAAAATAACAATATCAGTGGGGCCCAAACGATCTGACACGCACACATGCACGCACACGCACGCACACATGTGAATACATTTTGTTGTTTGCCTTCAAATATAGACGTGGGTTTTCGGGACAAATTGCTGTCAGGTACATAGGAAATTGCATCTACAAGGTTTCATTGAAAGAATTTCGGGGGAAGGGCCCCGTACATTCCCCACCACAGTGAATGAACACACTATGCATAGCTAAACAAGAACGAAAAAACTTTCAACCTATTTTGAATAACTATTATTCGTGTTTTCCACAATATTACAGCAATTTATACAGTATGCAAAACAACTTGCAGTTCATGAAATAAATTTCAAAATATGTTAATATATATTAAATCATCGTAAACAATTTCCACCTACAATCTCGACAGAGAGTTATACAGGAAGAATAATACTTGCTTGCTTTTTCAGAAAAATTAAACAATGGTTTATAATTCATTACCCATACCATTTCCACATACGCAACTGCCACGGCGAAAACAGAAATTAATTCCAATCCAGAATTGCGATATTGTACACCAGGTGGCAGCAGCATGCAGCAGCACGCGGCGATTGTAAAAAATATCGCCCCTAACAGTATAATACGATCCAAACCCCCGATACTACTTTAACTTACCAGTAACAATCACATATACTGCGTATTGTATTACCGCATGTATTAGTCGAAGAGCTACGCTGGCAAAATTATCAATAACCGTAATGATAAAAACAAGAGTAGAACACCAAAAATACATCACCACTATTAATGTCATCACGAACATAAAAGTGAACAAAAAAACAATGGGGCTTTTATTCACTCCTGAACACTGCTATACAATTATATATACTTATCATTGTATAGATGCATTCGTGATATCGTGTTAGTGATGTATCTTTGGAAAGACTTAACAGTCGTCATGTCATGCCCGCACTACATGCACCTTAAGACACACTACCCGAATCAGCAGTGAAAGCTGAAACACACAGCCGCACGAGTCTACCACGACACAAGCATGGTCCACGGATTACAGAAGGGGTCTCCAAATCCCAAGCGAACCTACAGCGATGGTAGACAGGTATAAATAGGGGAGAGAACGTCCACCACACAACATCTCATCAGGAGTGAATAATAGAGATTATTCTATCTCTAATCTCAATTATTCACTCCTGATCTCATCTAACGTTACAACTCTTCCATCACGTCTTAACGCGATTTTAATAGAAAATGCAGTTAACCGACTAAATGAGTCAACATTAAACAGGAGGCGGCCATCGAACACAGTAGTTTCCTTCGTGCTAGTTAATTGTGGTAGTTATACATAATTAAGCGTAGACTTGGCAAGGCATCGTTACCAGGTCGCTCCCACATACGTATATTTGGGGGCACGTATGAACGTAGGGACAGATCTCACGCGAGACTTGGATGATCTCATCCACACAATATATAAGATGTGATACTCGTGAGCAACTTGAAAATCATTGACACGGGAAAACACATTAGTTTACTTAATTCGCAGCCTCTCGTCATGACTGTAAAACTCTTGCATTAACCACTAGATGGCACTGTTGTCAGTAGGCCCGCTTACACGCAGGCACACGGTCAACGTTAGCTAGCGACATCGGTGCCACGCGACACGTCGGCAGTTTCATACAGTATCCGTGCAAAATCTAGATCTATATATCAACGGGGCACATGAGCAACACCGAATCTCTTGCTACAGATAACACCACGTGGAGCGAGAGCGAATACGCCATCCTCGTTTGAACGGGGAGGACCGTAACTCCATCGTACTACCCTGCGGGGGGGAGGGGGTCTGTCACCACCACTACATAACCTACACGCATTACATGTGCCACGACAACACATGCATTCCCCGTCCGCTACTTAAGACTTCCAAAGGCATATATACTGCCTGGAATCGACCAATGGAATATTCGCAAAACAAACGTTCGGGCGTAGTACCTACAATCGCACTTCATTGTAGACGCCCCACACCCACTTTAAAATAGTCACCTATAATTACCCTTGCCTACGCGTCAGTACACACGTTGACCTACCGCAAAACCATTGGCGATTCGTTAAAAATCGGTAAATTAGAGTTTGCACTCTGGTATATATACTTGTTCTCATCGCCCTGTGTCATCACCAACTGCATCAGTAACAGCGGACAGCACCTGCCAGCAGCCAACCATCCGACACCATCTTTTATAGAAATCACAGCAGCAGCAGTAGCAGTAGCAGTAGCAGCAGTAGTAGCAGCAGCAGCAGCAGCAGCAGCAGCAGCAGGCGGCGAGGTGAGCAGGCCAGGCGACAAGCCCGCCAGCAGCAGCCGCACCACCAGCACAACGCAGCATGGAGTAGCAGCCGCAGTAGCGAGTAGCAGTGGAGCAGCAAGCAGTAGCAGCAGCAGCAGCGTCAGAAACCAGTACAGCAGCAGCGATGGAGATAGCATGTATAGCAGTAGGCAGGAGCGGAGCGAGCAGCACACAGCAGGCAGTAGCAGCCAGCAAAAAATAGCGAGTAGCAGTGGCAGAGCAGCAGCAGCATGCCAGCACAGCGAGCGAGCAAAGGCAGCGCGGAGCGCAAGCAGGCGAACAGTACGACAGTAGGCAGGAGCGGCAAGAAGCGAGAACAGCCGCGAATGGCTCCTGTATCGACATACAGCAAGGCGCAGCCTTACGAGCATTAACTCGTCTCGTGGACTAGAGAAAACTGAGCAACAGACAACGACTGATGTTGGCTTTCCGAAAGGTCCAGGTGGCGTGAGCGCGCTGCCTCGATGTACCCTCACTCATTCGTTTGAGAGCATTTCTTCAGGGTCGGATGACGTCACACGTTTGTGTCGGGTGCCTCAAGGTGGTGGTGATACGGGTAACGTTTCACTCTCGTTTAATCACTCTTAAGCGAGTCGGGTACAGGACACAAGTGTAGTTTATACGTTTTGGAATTGACATTGTATATGCTGGAGAGAAGCTGTTACATATTAACGTTTTAATTCGAGTACTTAAGATCTAATATAAGAGCAGCCGCATTACGGATTTAATTAGTCAGGTTAGAATATACGGTATAGCAGTGCATCGTATTGATAACGAACAAGCTGAATGTATATTTGATCGCTCTGGCTAAATGTTCTCCGGATTCCGTAAACGCGTCTGCGTCGGAGATGAATAGAAAATCGACAGTGAGCGTACAAAAAGAACGGGACAGATACCCTGCTGAGGGATAACGATACCCATGTATACAAACTACCTTATCCTACTTTCAGCGTCCACACACGAGTCGACAGCGATGCGCAAGTTACAAACCGAAATCCGCTAGGTGTGAAGGTCGGGTCGACAGAAGCCGCTAGGCTAAGCAGCAGTTTCGGCACATCGATATAAACTTGGGTGTGCGCCGACAAACTAGTGACTTGTTGGCGCTGTTTCTTCTGAACGAATACAATAGTGTGTGGTTACAGCGAAACGACGCTGCCCGTACCGAGCAGCGGAAGCGTCATACTAGAAAGCTTTGCAAAGTGTTTGTCGCACAAAGCACACAACACTGAGGATCGATGCAAGATGGTGTCACCGTGTGCCGCATTCAGCTATGCAGCTATGACGATGCTGTGAAGTGATTTTCTTCTGAAGAAGATATTTTTGAGTATATATTCTTTGAAGAACGTTACGGGGGGCGTGGTGTGTAACAGTACAGGGGTTAGAGAGTGTGAGTTTTAGCACGGGACACGGAGGGGGACAGGTTGTGAGTTGGCGAGCAGGAAGCAGGTGGAGATTCAGTACAGATGGTGAGTGAGGAGGAAAGCACAGATGTTCTGCTCTCTTTGCTCTCTCGTCGTCGTCTCTCGTCTTCGGCTCTCTTTCTCTCGTCGCTCGTCTCTCTTCTTTGCTCGTCTCTCTCTAGTCTCTCTCTGCTCTCGCTCTCTCTCTTCTTGCTCTCTCTCTCAACCCGCCACAGCTCGTACAGTAGCGCTCTCTCGAAGTCAAGCTACACTCTCACACTGCCTCTCTCTTGATGTTGACAAGAAAGTATATGTGAGAATGACGGATTAGGGCAAGGGGTGAGAGAGTGTGATTGAGCAGGAGTACAGGGTGGTGTGTGAATTTTGCAGGAGCAGATGCGTTGGCCAAATTGCGGATAGGAATAACACGTTGAACGTAAAGCATCCACGCTAAGGAAACGATAATGGAGTGCGATGCACATCAAGGTGGACATGAGTTTTCAGTATAGGACAGTTCATTTATGAGGATACTTAAAGAATTTGAGGTCGTAATTTTGGAACAGAAACACTAACCCATGCGTACCGACAGGAGTGATAGCTTTGGGTTGCATTACATCACGACGGCATATACAGTACGTATGACGGGCGTGACACGGCGCGGCACGGGCTCAGGGGACAGTATCTTCACAAATTGAGCACGCGAGCGATGTGGCGGTTGCCAGAGGCGATTTCAATTCGTACGATAGTCATTGTTTGGTGTCGGTCAGCGGAGGTGCTGGTGTTTCTGCGCGGCTGTCGTTTCGGTCTCTTCTCTCAGACACGACGGGCGGCGCGAGTGGTTGCGATGTGGACGCCAACGGCAGCACGGTAAAACGAATATGATTTGTGGCAGGACAGCCTTGGCCGGTCTTGTTGTTCCTTGCACTCCAGTAGATCCTCCGTTTGTACAATGTGGATTCAGATTGTCCGGTGTACGGGTCCGTTCTTTTGCGGGACTACCGGTTTGTTAGGCTTGGAATGGGATTGCCTGCAAGGAGGAAAGGCGCAATGGCGAACTTCGATTAGTGCGTACGTCACAATCTAGCAGCATCCACGTGAGAGCGAGTTATCTGCTCAGACTCACATACGGCTTCGTTACGCTTTCGTTAACAGTGTTAGTACAGGTCAAGACTGCGGCACACACGGTCATACGGAGAGGTGAAAACTTAAGAAGTCCCTGTAGACCGCGTTACGAGTCATGGAGGTGCTTCGCGCCACGCACACCCTTTTTGCCCCTCCGTCGCAACGACTGGGCGAACGAAACCGATAACATCAGCGATGAACGGCGGAGCGAGGCGATCGCGTCTCAGCCACAGGCGAGGTGGCGCCGGCGCCAACCTACCTTCTGCGTGGCGCTTCTCGTGCCGTGGCCATGTTGGCGGTTTGCGCGCTTCAGCGGCTGGGTTCTCCTCGGCTCAGCTTAATGTGTTGGACCTGCATCCCGAGCGGCGCACTCCTCGCGATTCGCCGCTGGTCGGCCGGGCAGCGCGAGTGCCGTCGGTGGGAAAGTTCTCCTCCATCTCGTTCATTCTGCGCGAGCGAGCGTGCGTGAAGGGTAGTAGGTAGCGGCGCGGACTCGGCCTGAAAACAAGGCAGGCGGCAAGTTAACTATCGCAAATTGTCACAGAAAGCACGCACTGTTAACTATCAAGTTAGCTGTCCAACTTATTAATTTACTGTTGTTAACTATCACAAATTGTCACAGAAAGCACGCACTGTTAACTATTAAGTTAGCTGTCCAACTTATTAATTTACTGTTGTTAAATATCACAAATTGTCGCAAAAAGTATGCACTGTTAACTATTAAGTGTTTAACTTATATTATATCTGCTTATATTATATTATATTATAATAATTATGTTATATTATTAGCTTTCTAACTATTGCAAATTGTCGCAAAAACAAAAGACAAACTACAAAAAAAAATTGTATAACAAATGATGTCGTTCACTTCTGAACATGTTTAGTGCATACAGACATTAAACTGAGTGTGGTTCGAACCTGCCAAAATTGTTGCATAGTTACTATGTGACAATAGCGATAAAGAAATGAGGAAACACAGCTGCTATAAGGATATAGAGCATCTATATTAGCCATTAAGACTCTTTTCCCACAACAACACTACACACATATGTATATATATATATATATATGTATTAAGCAGGGCATCTACTGTAAAGTTGCGAGTGCTGACTGGGTATAAAAACACTCACGTCGGATAGTTGCGCTTCCACAGCAGCGTGGGCGGTCCCGTCTCTAACACCTGCCGATCGCCCTTCACCGGTGGATTCGTATCGAGCACCTTAGCGCCCTCTATCCTATCGTCCCAGTGTCCGGACAGCACCCGGCGCACCTTGCCTTCCACGTCCGTTATCACACCTGTCACCTGCGATGAAAGAAATACGACAGATACAGATACATAACTGGATCAGTAACAAGCAAGCGATTGTTACTCGAGGTTCAACTCTGGATGTAAAAAATTCGCACTAAAGTTCAGATGATAACACTTTTGATACATTGTGTATGTTATCATAGTTACGTGTATACAGGTACGACAGAAGTGAAAAAAATACACGGGGGCTCGGGGCGATTTAGCCCCCGAAATGCAAAAAAGAGCCCCGGAAATGCCAAAAAGAGCCCCCTGTAAATTTGCATAAGTTCAATGCAAACCAAATTTTAGAGTGCTATTTTCATGCACGCGAGCTTGAAAAGTAGCCCCCGAAAAATAAATTATATTTTTTTCCCTGTAACGACAGTAATACATGGTTAAAGCTCGGAGCTATTTAGATATCAAAAATTTCTTCTAAGCCAAACTTTTTCTCCTACAACGTTTTCTCGGAAACTTCATGACAATGATAAATCCTCGAAGAATTTCTCACAAGAACATGTCCTAGTCTGTACTACAATTTAGTAATGATTATCACCATATTGATACTGGTCACTGACAAGTACCAGGATATGTAGTTATTATCATGAACAATATACTATAAACTAGTATATACTAGTAAACACTATACAAGTATAACAATATACTAGTACAGATATGTTTGTGGTAATACAGGTGTGAGAAACACAGAGCTGATTGCTCGCTCACCTTTCTGGGAGGTTCGCGTGAGAAATAGCTGTATGCGTAGTATTTCAGGTGACAATTATCCTTCGTTTTATGATTGATAATGTCCATCTCTCCCGACTGGTCGATCCACAACTTTCCGACAATGATATTGTGCACAGTCGTCATCACCTAGCAATGCAAATGGCATAATTACCATGGCAACCGTTTACGGCTCTGGATTAAATTTTCGCAAATTTTTTAGTAGTTCTTGAAACATGAGTTTTGTAGAAAGGCATAAAAGGGCACATTAAATATTAAACATTAAATATTAACAAATTTCTTTGGAAGTTTCAAGATTACTACAGGTGTAAGATTTATTTAATCATATAATGGTAATGACCAACAATAATACGGTGACAAATTATGTAAAAATCACACAATTATATTACTATGGCATAATACTTATTATATACCAACGATTGAAGAGAACCTAGTTGAGGATTGCCTTTGTGTGTGTTTGGTTATGTTCATGGATTAGTTACGAAACATGGATATAGGGAAACACAGAACAACGATACAGAAAAGAAGATACCTCAGTTTAATATAGAGGTTTCAAACCCCCATCTAACATTGTCTCGACGAAATACCATCGTCTTTCGACCACGCCAAAATTCGGTCAACATCCGATGCGGAGTAATTGGTACCAAAATAAGAAATTTAGATCAAGAAAATCTTACAACGGCAAATGGAGCGAGTAACTCAGCATTTCTATCACAGAGGTTACACTGACATCTTGCCATCTTAGCCACGAAGGGTAGCAGGCTAGCAACACAGATCAGCTAAGCATTCAATTTTCCTGAATAGTGTGGAATTCACACGATCGTCGCATAATTTTACGTGGACACGGCGCGCCCTCACATAAATGTTAGAAGTTACAGCACCAACGGACTACTGTTGGCATGCCACTAAACATTAAAGTTAACTCCAACGAAAAAAAGCAAATATATATATCAATTACAAACGGGAAATAAAAATGAATCCCTTTTGATTCATTTTTCTTAGCTCTGACCATTGCGTTTTCACATTCACCTATCGGCTTTTACCATTAGACTTTAACCTTGGAAGAACATTGTTCGAAAACTTAGTACAATTACCTCTTCTTATAACCTTATTAGCTAAGACCTTTGACCTTATGACACCAACGATGACGTCACTGTCAATGGCACATCACGACATATCGTAAGTCGTTTTCCTAACACTCAAGGAAGACTGATGATGACAGAACAACATGGACAACAAGTTTTTAGTGAAAACCAAATGTTCGAACGAAGTTGTTACGCCAGCCCCGCACCCACTGACACGTAAATAAACCCCTATAAACCACAAACAGACCCAGCGCACGAAAAACCAGCGCACGAACCACAGCAGATCGTATTATATTAGTACCGTACGCCCAACGGCGGCTTCAAAACGACGTTCTTACCTTCTTCCACGTATAGTGGTTACCGTCTGCAAATTCTAAGTGGTTATAGCCCTTTGGCACGACATTAATGTGCTTGCCACGGAATAAACTCGTCACTGAAAATTCTTTGTACAGTTTCCAGCAGCGTCCCTCCGTGAAATTCGCCGCCACGGGAGGATGGTGGCTGACCTAATAAACACACACACAAACAGGGAGAGCCTATGTACACACCGTCGCAGGCGCGCGCGCGGGGAGAACCGACCGCTAGCCGAACCGATCCGAGTCACTGTCTCGCCTCCGATCCCTAAGACGCGCCGTCCCGACGCCGGCATAACGCCCCCGTCCCGACTCGTGTCGGTCCGCCACCACTACCCAACATCCGGCGTAAAGATGCCGCACGCACTGCAAAGCGTCGCCGCGCGCGAGATTTCTGGCGACGGGCGTCGCGATCGTAACCGCGGTGACGGGCGTCTGCGGGATGCGGCGGGAGATAGTGGCACGGCTCGCGTGGCCGCGCGGCCGGATCGCGGTCGACGACGATTGGTCTACGTTACCTTGCGCCACGTGTAACGATGGCCAGACTTGGGGAATTCTAGGTGAGTTATTCCTAACGGGATTATGTTCAAGTACTTTCCCCGGAATTTGCTCGACATTGTAAACTCTTGGTACATAATCCAGTCGCGACCCTCAGTGTACTGCGCTACAGCTGGCGGGTGATGGCTGACCTACAATAACACAAAAACAGCCGTCGCAACACCGTCCCACTGCACAGAGGCCCGGGCACCTACTGTAAGACATGAATTTTCGCCCGCATGATCCATTTTTGGCCTCCCCCTCTCGACATTGACGCCGACTGTGTATGCCGACAATGTGTCCTCATGGCCCTGGCTCCCCCCCGAAACGAACAGCAGCCACTTACTACGATTGAAGGGGTCGTAAGGTGCATTCAGTGTATGAGCTCCCTCTAGGGGCAACAGTTAGAAGCAGCATGGTAAATCTTACAAAGGCAACAAGATTGTTTCTTCTTTGTCGTGTTTTGTTTTAACGAGGAACATCATGCAGCGAAAATGTCTTGTGTTACAGTAGCCGAAAGAAAACCGGGTGACAACACTACAAGTTTCTCATTTTTGTGTGAGATCCATGTAAACTGAACACGCGCTATAGCGTTGAGGCTGTATAGAGAATATAGAAGGACACACATGATGTACCGAAGAGAGAGATTAAACGTACGATTAACCACTCCCGAGTCCCTGCTTCTGGTATAGGCACTAATGATGCCCACACTCGAGATACTAGGGAACAGATGACACACAGTACACATAGAGTAACCCAAAAGCAAAAAATCATCACCCACCGATGATCCGTTGAATTATTTCCAACATAAAATAAACTCGCATGCAGACACTTACATGCCAATGTATCCTACCAAAACCACATGCTAGCTATAGATTTCCTCCCGGCAAATGAACAGATTATAGATTCGAGTTCAATGAGAGCTATGTACTCTGCAACCAGAATGTTTGGGCCGGTACGTGAGGTAAACACTCAACTAGAAGTCCCCAGTTTGGCCCATCACAGAATGGCACTAAACTCTACCAGCGACACGTTTCGGAATCGTCATAATGAATTCGGACTTACACAAATCATTTGCATTTTCAGTTCACAGCTGAATATATATACATACATACATATGCGTATATATAGCAGCAAGCAACTGCACATATCATAATAACATTTACCTATAAACCTACACACAAAAGTATATATACATATATACATATATGAAGCAGTAGCAGGAGCAGCAGCAGCAACAACAGCAGCAGTAGCAGCCACAGTAGCAGTAGCAGGAGCAGCAGCAGCAGCAGCAGCAGCAGCAGCAGCAGCAGCAGCAACAGTACCAGCAGCAGCAGGAGTAGCAGCCGCAGTAGCAGTAGCAGGAGCAGCAGCAGCAACAACAGCAGCAATCCTCCCCTTATACCACGAACAGCAAGCGCGCACCTTACGAGCAGAACTCTCTCGTGACTAGAAAACTGAGCAACAACAACGACTATGTCTGGCTTTCCGAAAGCTCCACCAGGTGGCGTGAGCAGCGCTGCTCGATGGTACCCTCACTCATCCGTTTGAGGCTTTCTTCAGTCGGATGACGTCACACTTTGTGCTCGGGTGCCTCAAAGCGTGCTCGTAATAAACGGGTGAACGTTTCACCTCTCCGTTTAATCACTTTAACCGGTCGGTAACAGACACAAGTATTTATACGTTTTGGATTAATAGTATATCTTGGAGAGGAACTCTCTACATCATAACGTTACACTTCGATCACTTAAGATCTAATATAAAGCAGCATTACCATATTACATTATCAGGTTAGAATATACGGTATACATCATCCGGTATAGAATCAACGACAACTGAATTATATTTGATCGCTCTGCTAAATGTCTCCGCATTACCGTAAACGCGTCCTCGTCGGAATGAATAGAAATCACAGCTGACGTAACAAAAAAAACGCGGACAATACCCTGCTGACGGGATAACCCATACCCCATTATACAAACTACCCTTCATCCTACTCACGTCCACACACGAGTCGACAGCTGCGCAATACAAACCTCGAATTCCCTACGTGTGAATCGGTCACAAACGCTAGCTAACACATTTTCGCACATCATTATAAACTGGTGTGCGCCGACAAACTAGTGACTACTTGCGTTGTTTCTCTACTAACGAATACAATAAGTGTGTGTACAGCAAACGACCGCTCCCTACGACAGCGAACGTCATACTAAACTTTCCAAAGTTTTCGCACACACACACACACACTGAGGATCGATGCAAGATGGTGTCACGTGATGCCGCATGTCAGCATGCAGCTATGCATGCTTGAAATATTTTCTTCTGAAGAAATATTTTTTGATATATATTCTGAAGAACGTTACGGTGGTGTTGTAACAGTACAGGGGGTAGAGGTGTGAGTTTACACGGGAGGGAGGGGGCACAGGTGTGAGTTGGGGAGCAGGAACAGGTGCAGATCAGCTTCTCTCTCGCTCTCTCATCTATCTGCTCTCATCATCTCTCTCTCTCTCTCTCTCACTCGTCTCTCTCGTTCTCTGCCTCTCTCTCCTCTCTCTCTCTCTCGCTCGCTCTCTACTACTTCTATCTATCTATCTATTCTTATTATCTATCATCTATCTATCTATCTATCTATTGCTATCGTATCATCTATCTATTCTATCTCTCTTCCTCATCTCCTCCCATCCGCTCGCAGTTCGCACGGAGGCTTTGTCAGAGATCGCCAGGATCGCCGATCTCGTATCTCTATCTCCTATCTCTCTCTTCTCTTCTTCTCTCTCTCGCTCTCTCTCTTGCTCAGTCTCTCTCTCTCTCTGCTCTCTCTCTCTCTCGCGTCTCGCTCTCAGCTCTATCTCATCTCTTATCTCTATCTCTAATCTCTGATCTCTATCTCACACACACACACACAGGTGAACTTCAC